CATTATGTTGCCACTTTTCCTTTTGCTTGCATTGCAATGCACCACCTCGATAAATACATACAAACAAACAAAGATGCCAGCATAGATGAGAACATAAATGCAGACTACAGAAATATGCATAAATATGTCCGTCGAATTTTGATTAAAACACGGATGCATAACAAGAACACTAAATACAGGTAGATTGGATGACAGAAAATTAAAGGTTGGGAAGGATTAGACAAGCGATGGAGGAAAACAGATAAATAGATAGATAGATAGATAGATAGATGCATGGATAGATAGATAGATAGATAGACAGATAGATAGAGAGATAGAGAGATAGAGGTATAGAGAGATAGAGAGGTACGTAGGTAGGTAGGCAAATAGATAAGGCGAAGATAGGTGATATACAGATGGACGGGCAGATAGATAGACGGCTTGGTAGATTGATCGATAGATAAACAGAGAGATGACGAGAAAGAGAGAGAGAGAGAGAGTGGGATAGATGCATGGATACATAGACACATAGATACGCAGATACAGAGATACATAGATTCATAGATACATAGCTTAGACACACAGACACATAGATACATAAATACATAGATACGTAGCTTAGATACATAGCTTAGATACATAGCTGAGATACATAGCTTAGATACATAGCTTAGGTACATAGCTTACATAGATAGATGGATGGATGGATATGATAGATCGGATAGATTAGATAAAACAGATTGACTAGATAGATAGATTACAATAGATAGATAAATTAGATAGATTAGATAGATTGGATGGACGGACGGATGGATGGATGGATGGATACGTAGGTATAGGTAGCTAGCTAGCTAGTTAGGTAGGTAGGTAGGGCTAGAATGAAATATAGATCTATAGATACCGTAAAAAACATTCACATCACATGAACCTGCATTCCACTACTCTGTACTTGAAGTCCCAGTGCAACACAGATCAACACCGCTATTGCAGCGCAATATAATTATTTTGCATTGACGTGCCGCTAGATCCGGAGATGATCATAGCTGTCCAACTTTCGCGCTCTTGTACTTCCGTGCGCGTTTTCGCGGTTTTCGCGTTTTCGCGTTTTGCTGCCCGTTTTCGGGTTTTCGCGATTTTCGCGTTTTCGCGTTTTCGCGTTTTCGCGTTTTCGCGTTTTGCTGCCCGTTTTCGCGTTTTCGCGCGAAAATGCCGCGCATCACCAGGGCCGAGACACACACATTTCCTGCACAGCAGCTAGAGCGCCCATCCCCGAAGAGCGAGGGGGCCCGGGATGTCTGGCAGCAAACGCAACGCATCCGGTGCAAGCTCAAGCCGCTGAGTGGCATACTTGGGACAAATCCAAAACCTGTGGCGCAAAGAGTCTTCCTGACCGCACCAAACACAGACATTGGAGCGGCCACTCCACTTGGATTTCATATCCTCCGTCACAGATCCACCGACCAGGTACAACCTCAAAAGAGCGGTCAGAAACCCCAAGAGTGGCAAGACACTTGCGCGTCGACACTACGTCAGCCATAGGGAACCCGTGGAACTCAGACCGATGGGACACCTGATGAGCAACGACCTGGACCCAAGCCCATTGACAGCGAAGCTCAACTTCAGTGATGTGAGCAGTCTGCAGACAAAACGTGCCAAACCGATCAAGCAACAAACCTGCCGGAGTGACATGGAAACCAAGTTGCTGAACACGAGTCAAGGCAATCTGCGCAGCAGAGTTCGGTGGCAAGTCCAAGGCACCAACCGCACACGGAAAGACCAAAGAAGCACAAAAGTCCAAAGGCTGGAAAGTCCGAGCATCCTTGATGGTCTGCAAGAGACCAGCATATTGCGGATCAAGGCCAAATTCTAGGAGGCCAAGCAAGTGGGAGTTGACACCTGCTTTGTCCAAAGACAACGCCCATTTTGTCCTTCGCCGCAACTCAGTCCAAACACTGTCACCAACAGGAGCATTGGAAATTGCATGGAGGCTTCTTGGCCATGCAACTGTTCGCACTGCCCGAGCCTTGCCAGTAAAACTACACTTGCTGTGGCGCAGCTTTTGCCAGAAGTCCTCCAACTCAGCAATGCGACGCCTAACTGTGCTGTTCGTGAACTGCTTGCTAATTCTTACATGCCCCCCAACTCACGCGCATGATGCAAGACACGAATGCCAGTGAGCGGATTGACATGGACCTTGGCACCGGTGATCGCTTCCAAATGGCGACGGATGCAGGCTCCAACCCACCACGAATGCAAGGGGCATATTTTTTTCAACCGGCTGGACGTCTCGTACGAACAGCTTTCCGCTGGAAGGCATTGGAGGGATGGACAAGTTGCCTAAGGAACCATGCAAAGCGACAAAACGCCAGCTACTATGCTTGGCCACTCCTACCTCTTCAAGGCGACATGCCGCTTCTGTGACACGATAATCCAACACATTCTGCAAAACATCAAGGCACGCCCGGACGTACTGGTTGGAAGCTGGCGGTCCGACGCGCACTATCAAGCATGGGCATTGCATCAGGTGACATATCTGGACGACAGCCGGCAACGTGTTGGCTATCAGCCTTCGAGCCGTGGGAAAAGGACCCAAAATGCTTTGCCTCTAGGGAGAGGCTCGCTGCCAACACGATTAAAAATATATGTATTATATATATATATATATAGTATATTTATATTGATACTTAAGGTTTTGCAGCCGATAAGGGGTCTTTAGAATTTGATTCTAGGGTCCTTGGTGATTTAGCTCTACCTCTGACTGTGTGATATATGTTTTCCAACAATTATGTCTTTATCTATATTATCTATCAAGGTAGGTGGCCTTGGTATATACTAGTGAAAATGATCCCAAAGGAAAAATCGTATTGGCTTAGTCTAATCCCTTGGATGTTTCAATATTATTAATTCTTATCCGTCATTCGGTAGTCATGCCAAGAAGGGGATTGATAAATTAGCCTCTCCATCCATTTACCCTTCTACTCGTGAAAGTACCAGTCAGAACAAACGATCACCATTCGATCGTAGTTCAGATATGCTTTTTTTTGGTTGAGTACTTAGATAAAATATAAAATAAAATATTGTTATGCGACGGATTTGCGGTGGCGATGGATTTGGGGTCCCCCGATCCAAATGATCAGTATTTTTTTGGCTTAAATCTCAAATGAAGGACACCGAATCCATTGCGGGAAAAATCATGGTAGAATATAATATTAAGGCTGTTTCCTATGTCCACATGCAAATTTCTGCACCCTGACATCGGCAAAAAGAATATTTTTTCCTAAATCCCAGGGTACGACCCCCGTATTGCCCAAGTCTAGGTGCAGAAACCTGCACCTTGACTTAGGCAATACCCCACCAAGCACCTAGGATATCGTCAACAAAAAGTTTTTTTGGCCTAAGTCAAGGTGCAGATTTCTGCACCCTGAGTTCGGCAAAATTCATAATTGGACATTGCATTTAAAGGATATTTGATGTAGACATAGAAAAACGGGGAAATTTAGTATTTAAAAAAAAGAGTGATCATCAGGGATAATATTGGTGGCTTTATACCAAAGGTATGTGGGGGCACCACCTAGAAGAAACATGAGAGTGGTTGACACCTATTCCATTTTAATCCAGCAATTGGTCCGGTGCCCTTCAAGGGAAATGGTAATAAATGGTAGTGGACCCCTGTTAATCCAAAGAATATGATAGAACAAATAATCGTAATCGAAACTGGGATGATACAAATTTAATCAACCAATTGGTTGCCTAAGAGTGAAAATAATAATGAACATATGGTTATCCATGAGCATGGTAGAAAACAAATAGATACATTAAATAACCAATGGTAAGATGATACCCATTTAATCAGCCAATTGGTTACCCCATAGGGGAAATAATAAGGTACCTAAAATACCATTCAATACCACAATATAGAAAATATTTGGAAAGGCCCAAGAATTCATTTCCAGAGACCCCAGATCAATTGCAAAACCTTACTTGATACTTATTTAGAATTCTTCATTCATTTTATATTTAAATAACCTTCGAATATAAATATAAATATCTTTTAAAGTCGAGCTTACAAGCTGTAACAGCGAGCACGATCTAGACCACGATTTTTAGCACGAAGGCTGGAGGGTGGCAAACAGCACGATCTAGAGCACGATTTTTGGCACGAGGGAGAGCTACTATTTTTAGAAGGGGGCAGGGTACCCTTCTGCTCAACGACCTTGTCCCACACCCCACAACGCAGAAAACAAACATAGATTTTCTCATATTTTTTTGGCCCGATTCCATCAGTTTTAAAATACCTTGTTTAAAAAAAGATAAATTAAGATAATTTAGCAAAAAAACTTTGATTAGCGACCCTTTGAATAGATCCCCAGGGATGGAGAAAGATCTGTGTAAAAGCTGCTCTGTGTAAAGACTTCTCTGTGTTAAAGACACCTTTGTGCACAAGCTCCTCGGTGTAAAGACTTCTGCGTGTAAAAGCCGCTTTGTGTGCAAAAAGCTCCTCCCTGTAAAGACTTCTTTGTGTAAAAGCCTGATGTGTGCATGGCTTTCCACCCAAGTTCATCTGGATCGTTTGATCAGAGAAAATGACCGGACCGGCTTTGGGGTGATTTCTGTCGAAAGAAGTATGATGATGATGATGGAAATGTAGTGGGACTCCAATTGGACAGATCCAATCCTGATGTCGCAGTTCTGATGAGCAAGGACACAGTCATTCCAGATCCAGAAGCCGGCTTTGCCTCCAAGAAACTTTTCCAGTTTGTTGAGAGTAGGAAGGAGATCACTGCCCAGTCATACAGGTTCTTTGTTGAGCATGCTCATAGTCAATTCTTCCAACATGAAGCCTTCAATCAATCTGCACGTGCAAGAACAAGGACAAAAGATCTTGATGCAGGTGATTTTCATCCATCGACCAAGCTTAAGGGATACGTGTGGATTGGCACCAAGGACAATTTTGTGCATGTTCCAAAGAGTCAAGCAGGTGCTGTTGAAATGGTAGAAGGGGATGCTGATGAAGAAGAAGAAGAAGAAAAAGAAGAAGAAGAAGAAGAATATACCTTACCAACTCTGGAAGTCAAGATCAGACCTCAACCTCAAGAGGAAGAGAAAGAAGAATATGTAGGCTCTCAAAAAGGAGAGGAAACATCACATCACTCAGGACACTCTGAAACCGCAGAGATGCCTGCAGTGGAACCTTTGCCAAGAGGTCGCAAAGCTGAGGGAAGGTTTGGTAACTTCATCATTCAGCAGCTCAAACCAGAACATCAAGAGCTAGTGAGATTATATGCATTCAATTCTCCAAATATCCTGGGAGCCGATGACAGGGATCCAGCAAGAGATTTACAATCCCCTGATCAAGTTGGTTCTTTTGGTATGGTCTTCATGATGGAGCACATGGCTCATGAATCACATGGATCATTCATGAACTTTTTCCAGATTCGACACAAACTGACATTACAGATGAGCAGTATCATGAACTACGTCTCGATATCAAGAAGGTCTCCAGGGAGAACAAACAGGTTAAGTTAGCAGCATTTGAGGAAGAAGATGATCCTAACCTGCCTCGAGGACGCCAAGATGATCGAGCACCAGGTGATCCAGAGTTCAAGGGTACTGTGGAATGTTTGAGTCGTGAAAACAAACAACTATTTTTGAAACAGAAGACCATGCACCTATTGAATGTACAATCCAGTGGCTCAACATGTATGACAAAGATCTCAAAAAGAGAATCACGGAAAGAGTTGCCAAGAAAGAAGAAGAAAAAGATGAAGACATGCATGCTGAAAGTGATCAAGTTCAACCTGAGGAGCCTAAGGTACCACCACCTGAGATGGTGAGCATGGAGATTCAGACAGATGAGTCATTCCTGACTGAACCAAAGCCTGGAAGCTCTTCAAAGGAAGAGGTACCAGCTCCACCTGGAAGCTCTCAGAAGGGAGAGGAACCAATGGAGAAGAACGATGATATTCAAAAGGACGACACGGCTCCTGCCACACGTTTCTTTCATGGTCAAGATACCACTGGAAATGAAGATGATTCAATTTTTAGAGAACTTTCCAAATGTTTTACAAACAACTACCATGAGGAATGGTCAGGTTTTTATAATCAGGGTTATCTAGCATCAAGTCAACATCGACATATGTTCTGGCATGTCAAATACAGGGAGACCAATGAACCACACAAAGAGCATTCGTGCACCGACTCCGACAAGCAATTGGAAACTTATACTGCCAGACATACAGATGAATACCCATTATCACTGCTAGAAGAATATCGCAAGGAGGCAGTCTACAGTTGTTCAGACCCTCGTCTTCATATTCGAGAACGTGAAAACGTTGAACGGTTGACAAATGAAGCCGAGAAACGGTTAAAGGATGACTTTGAGACCCTTGAGCGTGTTATCACTGACTACGTGGAGTACAATGGTCGCATACCACATATTGTGTAGCTCTTCGGTGTCTTGCATCATGGTATGTGGGAGCTGGTATACTTGATCCAGAAATGTTGAACAAGGATTATACCTATCGATCATCACCACAATTTTCCTGTATGTTCTGGAACTTAGGAAAGTGGTGCAGATCACGTTTCAGCAAATGTCCACTACCTGAGGAACTTCGAAAGTTTGAAACACATGTGGATTATCAGCTTGATCGTGACCGTGAGAAGATAGGGGACAAACCACAGTTCAATAACTACGTTATCAAGGTTGTCAAGAATCTTGGAGCACATTTGTTTTTGAATTGCGAGGCTCAAAGCCTCTGTCCTTACAGGTCTTTGTTTGAAGGGGAGCAATTCACAACGTGTTTCAGTAATGATTATCATGACCTTATGGTTGCTGCTCGTGTGGGAAAGAACGTATATGTTCGACACATTTCTGCTTACAATACATAGTGAAGATGACACACGTCCAAGATACGTATCATCGGCGATCTTCGAAATTTTGATAAATTTTGTGGGGCACAGCTTTGAGCAGAGACACCAATCAGGAGGAGCCTCTCACTCGAGGATGAATGTCCATGTGTCGTGTATGTGTTTATCACGCCGGACAAGAAAAGCATTTCCAAGGCGCAAGGAATCTGCGGAGAAAATCTTGCATGCATTTCTTGGGAGTGTATCCGTTTTCAAGTTGACGTGATAGCAGGTGATGGAAATAAAGCTTGCTACCTTGCCACTCCAAAAGTCGGAGGCTGTCCCACATATGAGGTCAGCTTGCTTTAGTTTTGGATCGATCATATGATCCACTCAGCCACTCAGTCAAAGTCGAGGCTCAAGAATTACGGAAAAGCACCACCAGTGCCTGTGAAGCATTTCGTTTCTTGCTCCTACCAGGATCTCGTGTTTTTGGCGCAGAACCTCAGAGGAATCAAGACCGAGACCTTTACTGCGGAGTTGACTGGGAGTGTTGGTGACTGTTGCATGATGTCCATATGTGAGTGGGGACACACAAGGTTAGAATTTGCGGAGTACATCGACTATTTTCATGATCAAGAACACATGGGCCATGTTGGAGAGTTTAGTTGTTCA